GTTTTCCTTGTTTTCCTTTTTAGGGTCCCGGCCAAAAACTCCATCTCTTTGGTTTCCCTGTTAAACCCACCAACAAAGGGGGTACCCTTCGTCTCAAAAGACGAGCCCGCGCCGACGACATACTGTGGATGGACAAAATTCTGCACCACTTTGAAACCATGGTTGAAACCAGTGGTGCTTGGTAATTACAGGGGAATCGAATCATTCCAGTGATTCTTGGGTGGTGCGAAATGGATTTCGTCCGCCGACATAAATGGCTGTGGCTCAAAACCAATGATACCATTTTGGTTGGTAGGTGAATTCTGAATTCACCACTGGGGGGGGGTACGATTTGGATTTCGACCCATAACCATGTGGGTATGGGTCAAAAATGGTCAAAGCGAAACCACCAAAAAAAACACAAGTTTTGGTTGGTGGTGCCATTTGCAAGGGCAAACCATTTTGCGGTGACCGCATTCTTGACCCATACCCCATATGTCAAGGGGCCGTTGCTAGCAACAGATGGGTATGAATCGAAATTAAACCAGGATATAGACCGCAATTTTGATCCACGGCAAAATATTTTGTTTCGTCGTTCTCAAGGAGGCGGAGGTCACCAAGATCTACGAGACGGTGGGGGTGTACCTGGGCTACGCGCTGGCGCAGTACTGCGAGTTCTACACGCGCCTCGGGGAAAGGGGAGGGGAGGGATGGGGAGGGGAGGGGAGGGATGGGGAGAACGGGGAGATGGGAAAGGCCCCGAAAAAGGAAGTGGGGGCCCTGGAGCGCCAGTTGCGATCCTTTTGTTCCTTCCTCTTTCTTTTTTTTTTTGTCTTTTCCCGGTGCACTACTGCTTCCAATTCCATTCTTTCCAGGGATTCGAATCTTTTGAGGAAACCATCAAAAACCCGGGGGAAACGGATCCGGTTTTTGAAAAGAACGATCCGGGATCGCCAGTTGTGATCGTTTCTTTTCGCGGTGCACTACTTTACCCCAAAAACGATCGCAACAGTGACTGAAAAAGGAGCGATCGCAACTTGGCTATCTAGGGCAGCACTTAGGGGTAACCGATAGAGCTCAAGAACAGAACAATCTGGGTGGCTCATCTGTTCTCATGGCTTGGTACCCCCTTTTTGGTTGGTGTTAAGGGAAACTAACAGGAAACACTACTTTTGGGGGTCCCCCCATCAAAGACACCGAACTGGACGGCCCCTTTTTTCGGAGCCGCATGAGGGTAACATTTTGGGGGTGTCTTACGAAGAACCCAGTTTCCTTTCGGTCTCCCCTGAAAAATTCTGAGCAGCAGCCGTTTTGATCTCCAGGGGCCCAGTTGTGACATGGTCACTTCCTTTGCCGGAAGAATCTCCGCCTGAGATAAGAAGAAACCACCCCCTACCCAAACTGAATGATATACTACTCCGAGTCTATCCTTAGAATCAGGCAACCCACATGTAAACACAAAATCCTCAGGGGTGACCCCCAGCGAATCCTCTTGCCGGAAGGATTCCTTCCGGCCGTTCGGTGGATCCGAGGATCGAGCACGTGATGATTCTTGGGCGTGTGAGCAAGGGCAAGGGCGGCGACATCATGCTGGACACGGCGAAGAAGGTCCTGGAGGCCCGGTCTCGACTTCTGAAAATTCCCGGCTTTGGATGCTTGCGAACTCCTTTTCATCCGAAGGAAGGACGCCCTGGTTTCTGATGCGAACCCCGAAAAAAGGCCGACAAGCAAGGTTTCAGCCATGGTTTCAAGGTGGTGCAGGATTTCGTCCATGCACAGTACGGGGGGTTGATCACAAGGTCCGAAATACATGCGATGTCCATTGGTTGGAAATCCACTAGATTTCAACCACTAAATGGGAAAAGTTACCTATGGTCATTTGGGTCCCGGGGTCCTAAAAAATGGTTGATTGGGGGAGAGGGGGATTTCGACTACCTCTTTAGAAACAGCACTTCGATAATTCAAAAGGAATCGTCACTGCTGGAAATACTTTTATTTTTTCCAGGGGGCGAACAGCAAACGGAAGTGCAGTTCGTCTCCGAGAGCCGTGTTTGGTACTCGGTGTTTCATTGACTTGGTGGTTCCCAGCCATTCCACTTAACCCACTATGTAAAAGTGTTCGACTTTCAGCAGGGAAACTGGGAGCAGCTCAGTTGCGGTTGTGGACATGCACAAGACCGTGGCAAGCGATACAGGACGATAGGTGTCCTTGTTAGGTTTGTTTGGTTAGAAATAGATGGGTTCCACTGGCCTAGAACTTTGGGCTTTATTCCATCTACCAGATAAAATCATCTATTTTTGTAAACGTAACCTATGAACAGGACTCCAAAAAATACGGTCCCCTGAACTACGCTTTCAAATGCCTTGCCTTCACTACAGTTTTTGGCGACGGCGGCCGACTCGAAAGGGGGTCAAACAGGTTTACCTCTTCACGCATGGAAGCGCGCAAGCTCCCTGCCGGAAGACTTAGGTAATCTTTGGACATGCTGCGGATGCTTGTCCGTTTGCTTCTCGCACCACGACATTTGAATCCATAGCATTTACGTTTGGGGAATCGAACCATTCCAGGGTTCTTGGGGTGGGCAAAATGGATCTCCTCCATCAACAGTATGTGCGTGTTCGAGTTCGGACTTGAACCGTATTTGCATGCTGGTTCTATATGGGGTCAACTTTTCTACTAACATATGTAAGATAACATTTGAATACAGTGTATGCATCGAACATCCAATTCAATAGCCAAGTTTTTTTTTAGGTATCCTGTTATTCACCCTACATAGTGCAATTTTTGAGCGAGAACTATGCCCGCACTTGCAAGAAAAAGAAGAACCAACAACAACATCCAGATGCGCACCTTCTTCCTGAATTGGGAACCAAGCGGGGTGCTGGCATGGGCGAGCCGACTGCATCGATTCATGGTTCGGCTTCTGATTTTGAGCATCCCGCGAGCGCCCGGCTGGCGAAGTGGGTGCCCCACCCGAAACGGGGGTCAGCTTCTGCCTTGTGGGCCATGGGTTTCCCCTTTTGCGCCTGTTTGGTGGATTTTCCCACATGGTTTCACCCCAGAAAGTGTTTTTCGTTTTTTTTTTTTTTTTTTTTTTTTTTTTGCGGTTCAGTGATAGTTTCCATACTGTGGATGGTTGCGAAATCCATTTCGCACCACCTAAGAAAGCCCTGGTTTCTGATGGTTCCCCTGTAAATTTTCAATGAAGGGTTTCCCACAGTTTCAAAGCGGTGCGAAATGGATTTCGCAACCATCCGCAGTACTAAAAGCTAGGAGCTTTTTAGCTGGTGATCGAAGCCAGTTGCAGTTTGCCATCTTTTCTGTTTTACCCTGGGAAGCCGCAGGAAATTTCATCCCCTTAGGTTTTTAGGGTTGACTGGTAGTTGCTATGCCACCAACAGCTGGTCACTTTTAGTTGGAGATCTGTTCGGGGAACATCCCAGTTGTTGCAGTTAAATTTACCAGACCATGCCCAAAACAGGAAGACCCACTGCACAAGGGGTTGCAATGTGTTGCCAATGGCCACCTCTGAACGGAGCTGGTGGTTGAAAGAGAGCCGGACAAGGAGCTGGGGGTATGCAAATTCGCTTTTGAGGAGGGAGCTAAGGAGATACCAGGAGTTGTGTAAGGACTTGGTAGCGTAAGGGGCGTCAACTACCTAACAAGACTTCCGTTAGCATGCTTTATTCTCCCTGGTTTCAAAACGCGAAACATGTTCTTGGCTTCGCAGCCTATGCATTGGGTGGCATCCATTTTGTCCATCTTTTGGATGCACGAAATCCAACCCAACCGAATGCTTCGATTCCCACCTGCAAAAAAAATGCCGACAAAGGTCATGCTATGTGTTCTTAGGTGGTGCTCTAGGAGTCGGTGGATTCCCCATTCTTTTCAACCCTGGTTCTTTTCCAAGCCCGCGTTTTTTTCTTTCTTCTCCCGCCCTAGGAGCCCAAGACCCTAAAAAGGAGGGGGTTCCTTGAACCCCCAGAGGCCTGAAACAATCAGGTCTTGGGCTCCCCGGGGCGTTTCCTTTCTTCTTCCTGGTCTCCTGAAAAAAAAAAAACCACAAAAGTCCGGATCCCTGGACGGAGGTCCGGTTGGAAGGTACTCGTATGCCTCGTACCCCGTTTGGGGCCGCGTGGGAAGGAAACAAGCTTTTGGCCAAAGACACCCTCTGAGATTCCCAAGCCCAACGCCTGGAGGCGGAGTTCCCGCAGTTCGCCAACATCACGTTCCACACCGCGGACGACCACTTCAAGGCCACCGATAGTTGCGAGGACTTCGGGCTGGGGAATCCTTTTGCTCGAAGGACTTTTTTTCTTTGATGTGCGTTCTTTCTTTTTTCCTTTTTCTTTTTCTTCTCTTTTTTCCAGAAAGGGCGTTTTAATGTTTTGTTTTCCTACTATTTGCTTCCATTTGTTTGAGCTCAAGATTATTTTTCTATTTGCTTCCATGTTGGTTTTAAAAGGAATCGATTTCACTACTGCCTGGATCGCCAGTTGCTGTTTTTTTTCCGTGCACTTTACCCCACAAAAACAGCAACAGTGACTGAACACAGCGATCGCAACTTGGCTATCTAGGTGGATTCTTGTTTTTTGGGGGGACCTAAGCACATGGAAGGCTGGGTTTGCCTTTCGGCTGGTTCTTGCAGTGCTGAAGTCCGCCCTGAGCTCCGTTTTCGGACTTAAAGCTTTTTGGAATGTCTAAAGGAAGTGGCAAACAGAAGGTCCCGAACTTTTTGGCCAAACCACTCAGGAAACGAGTGTAGCGGATACATTTGAGCCACGAAAAACAAAAAAGTGCCCAAATACCAGCTGCTTTTTTTGTGAAACCTTGTAAGGCAGGTCTTCGGATGTATCCCAAACGGAAGGGTTCCCATTTCACCTCGCGAGACTTGCCGAAGGTGCTGCCTTAAGGGGACATCCAAAAGAGCACCGTTTTTTTTTGTACCCCACGTATTCTTATGTTTGCTTAAGAACATGTTCAATTTCCCCTTGTTGGTTTTGAAGGGACTCTGTCGCTACTGGAAATATAGTTCTATTTGTTTTCCACGCGACTTGAAAGCAAATGAACGCATTCTTTAAACAGCCCTTTTTCACTTTTTCCTTCTGTTTTTTTAAAGCTCGCATGCGCTTTGACCACCTCCCCGGCAAATTGTCACATTGAACCCCTGTTCGGGTTCCGGAGCGCATATGTTCAAACGACAGTTGATGGTTTAGCTTGCATGTGAATCTCACTTCCCGAGTTCCGTTTCGGACTTTAGCAACTTTTTGGGATTGGAGCATTTCAGGGGTAAAAGGCAACATTTGGTGATTTTGTTTGGCCAATCCAAGAAGTGAGTGAATCTGCAGGGGAGTATTGTTTGAACCATGCAATGATCCTGAAATACAGTCGGGTCTGCTTGAAAAGCCCCCATTTGGGTGAGCTGACTGTTTGTTTTTTTGAGTTGGCCCCCAATTTGGGGTTGTTTTCAAGCAGGGTTGATCAAGGGGTTTATCCCCACTTCCGCGATACAAGTTGGAATCTCCCCCTTTAGATCGGACTCGGTCGTCTGTGGGAAGCCCTTGTTGTTGTATCACAGAAGTGGTCCTTTTCCGGTGAAGGAACACCAAGTGGGTCTCTCTTTTTTTGAGGGTGCGGTTTGAAAGGCAAACCACAAGGAAAACCACAATTTTTTGGCGTCCACCAAAAAAAGACACGCCCAATTGGTTTAAACACATTTTGCCCGGGCTCGTTGTTTTTTGGGGTTTGTTCCCACGGTGTTTTTTCCACAAAGGCGTGCTCCCTCTCAGGCGGTCGGCCAGTGCATTGCCGCCGCTGCTCTGCCGGAGATCAAGTGATCGATGCAGCTTCGGCATGCGGGAGGCTATGTATTTCAAGCGCCTCCGCTGAAGTGATTCTTGATATTCTAGGTCCCCCAGCTAGGTGCCCTTGTACCGTTTCTTCTTGCGGGAGTCGGTTCCCCTACTAAAATAGACTACAGAAAAAAGTTGGTACCCTTTTTCTAACCTCTCTACTGGAGGACTTACTTGATATTTTTGGGTAGACTCAAGTAGACACAGAATTGCGGCCGAAGGCCAAGCAGGCAGCTGGCTCCCAGTGCGAAACTCCGCCCGTTGGCCTTTAGTTCGATCGGAAGGGGCTGGAGTTTCGTTGGCTTCCCCGCCAAAAAGGAACCAAAGATGGACACTCGCGGGCCCCGCAATTGGGGCCCCTCCAGAAACCCGCGAGAGGCTTGAATTCGCCTTCAGGGATCATGGGCCTTCTGGAAATGCATTTATGTCCTTCTTGCTTTTCTTTTATGCTTTGAAGGGGGCTTCCCGAGATCGCTGGAGATTTGGGGGAGCGGTTGAGCTGAGAAGATATGTTTACTTGGGGTTTGCAGGGATGGTCAAACTTTGGGGCACAAGACGTTGCCAACGTAGTGGTTCCTATGGCACATATGGGCAGGGGGCGGTTCTTTTTGACACTGCAGATGGACATGAACCGGAGCAACCATCGTCAGAGGAATCCCCTTCCGTGGGATCCTGTTATTGGGTTGCTGCCGTTCATTTTTGCAGAGGACTAGCGTTTGACACATGTGGGTGGTCAAAATGGTGGCAAAGGGGGCGAGAGTTGACCCTCATGTGGCCTTGTGGGCGTTTTTAGTTCGTGTTAAGCTGCTTTTGTCGCAGTGTGTTTGCGGAAATGGATCTCCTATGCGCCGGCCTTGTGGACGTTGACGTCTTTGGTTCGGCGTTTTATGCGGCTTGTGTGTTCGCAATGTGTTTCGAAAGCGAGAGCTGAACTTCTATGCGATCGCCTTTTTTTCCCGCTCAGGATGGGCTTTGCACACCTGCGAGGGCCAGCTATTTCATCAATTGAGTTTGCTCAAGTCTGCTTTTGTACAGTGTGAAGGGAAGGTCTCTCTTTGGCTCTTAGCCGCGCGAGACTTGCACCACATTTGTGCAAAGAACAGAGACTGAGACGCCCACAGCGATTGAAAGGGCCTTGCAGCTGGGGACGAGCTGTTTGCTCTGGTAGCAGGGGTTGTGCCTTGCCCCTTCTGGCAAACCAAGCCCTCCCCAAGAATAAGCGCAGTTCTAGATGACGGAGTGGATGTGGCTTTTGCGGAACCACCCCTGTGGGATATTAAAAGAGTACTAAGCGAGTACTCAAACGAACTTACAGGGGGTTGGGAACAACATCGGGAAATTGACGTAAAAAGCTCAAATACAACCTGTGTGCTAGAGCAATGGTGCTAAGCAGGGAATGAGAAATGGAATGACCCTTATGAACCCCGTCCAACTGGTGCTTTTCCTTATTCCCCACTCCCCACTCCCCACTTCCCCACTCCCCACTCCCCACTCCCCACTCCCCACTCCCCACTCCCCACTCCCCACTCCCCACTCCCCACCCCACTCCCCACTCCCCACTCCCCACTCCCCACTCCCCACTCCCCACTCCCCACTCCCCACTCCCCACTCCCCACTCCCCACTCCCCACTCCCCACTCCCCACTCCCCACTCCCCACTCCCCACTCCCCACTCCCCACTCCCCACTCCCCACTCCCCACTCCCCACTCCCCACTCCCCACTCCCCACTCCCCACTCCCCACTCCCCACTCCCCACTCCCCACTCCCCACTCCCCACTCCCCACTCCCCACTCCCCACTCCCCACTCCCTACCTGCAAGGAAACGTAGTTAGTTGTGGCTTTTGCGTGAGGCTGCCATTCTTCCCATCCAAAAGATTAGACAAGCGTGCCGTGCTTCTTCAAAACTCCTGGCAGGAGCCTCGGAAGGAAAGGGGCCCGACAAAAAAACTCGGGGCTTCGAGCCATAGAAGTGGAGCGACGGGAAAAAACATCCGATGCCGTGGATGGCTGCGAAGTGCATCTTGCACCTCAAGAGACCATCTGCTTTGGAACCCATCCTTCTGAGTTTCCTATGGCAAGAAGTGCAACTGTATGCAGGTGACTCCGGCCGTGTCTGGTGGGCAACCAGAGGGATCCACTTCTGGAGTTTGCGTGGGACAATGTTTGTTGATATTTTTACGGTTGGGGAATCGAATCAGAACTCATAGTTTGTCCACTAGCATGGAACCCACCAGGGGGTCTTTGAAAGGCAAATCCCAGGACCCTCAGTGAGGTTCCATCTTTAGTGGACGGGAGGATACGTATCTTATGATCACTGAACTTGGCTTTAAAGTCTCCCAGCACCCCATTCTAATTATCTTCAGATTGCTATTGGGTTCATAGGTGTCCTTTTTGGTTGATTTGGTCGAAAAATAGAGGGCCCTTGTTTACCTGGTGGTTCAATCAACTGCCAGGGAAACCCATCTATTTTCCCAACAAGGACGCCTATGATTGGGTTGGGTCTTTAGACCTTCCACTTTGGGTTAAACCCATTCGAGTTGTCCATTTGAAACCCAGGTTGAAGCCTCATTTGTCCGCCTGGCTCGAGGTCGTCCCAAAATCGGGCTCCGGCGGAATCGGCCTGGACGAATCGAAGTGGGTTCCCCGCGAAGGGCGGCTTTTGACAGGGGTCCCTAGATTTCCCTTTTGGAGATTTTAAACATCACCTATTTTGGCCCGTGAAAGGTGAGTGTCCCTTGGTGGGGGTGATGTTTTTGGGGGAAATTTTGGGAGCCCTGTTTCATCCGTTTAATCCCCTTGCGACTAATGAATCGTTCGGGGGGAAGTGGACACCCTAAGTTGAATTGGCTGGCATAGGGGTTGGCCTGGCCTACATCACCCGACAGAGGTAATCCTTTGGTGGGACTTGACCCCCTCTACAAACATCTCCAAACCGTCAGTCCAGCTGATCTCGGAAGAGGCTGAACCAACAAATCATCTCCCAACGCCCCGATGGCTGCCGCCACGCGAGAGGAGGCGGAAAGCCGAAAAGTCCGAGACTGGGGGGCGGCCGAGCGAAGTTTTTGCTGGTTGGAAGCGCCTCTTGGGCCGTGGAGCGCTCCCAGGCATCCGGTTCCTAAGGCTTGCTTTTGAGTTGCTGTGGTGGGTCTTCCGGACTTTTTGCCCAGTTTTGAGGTGGCAGGCCATCCGGTTCCTTGGCCTTTTGGCTTTTGAGTTGGTTTGGTGGTTGGGCTTCCGGACTTTTTACCCACTAGAAGTGGAAGTTTTGAAGTTTTGGCAGGGAATTCAAGGGCTCAGTTTGGTTTCTTCAGATGAGCACCGTTGTCTGGTTGGGCCTTTTGTGGAGGTTAGAACGCGCCCCCGGCCAGAGATCGCAGGGAAATGCAAATCCGGTCTTCGGATTTGCGAGGGTCCGGTTCCTATGTTTTTGGGCTCCACTTGTTGAGTGTGACCGGGATGCCTTCGGGCGCGGCTCGCTACGGATAGATTCAGATCTGGGGCGGGTCTTTGTCTAGAAACCCTCCATTTGCTGAAGTGAAGATGTTGCTTATTGCTGGAAGTACGTTTTTGTTCCAGGGGCATTTCCTTTGTTTCCCCGCAGGGGACAAGGCACCCCTTGTCAGATCCCCAGGCATACCTCCAGTCGACCCCAAACTCCTTCGGCCTAACAACGTCCTTACTCCTGAAACAAGGCCTTCTTGAGGGCCCAAGATGCTTAGGGCAGTTGATATCTTGCTGGTGCTCAGCAGGGAATGAGAAATGGAATCACCCCCCAAAAAACCATGCAGTGCACCATCCATTGAAGGGGTCAGGACCTCCATTCGAAGGCTTTGGGCCTCAAACAAGGTCCTCAAGAAGGCCCAAGATGCTTAGGGCAGTTAATATCTTGCTGCTGCAGGGCCCTTGTGGTTTCCTTTAAGGGGACCCCCAGTTCATTCCCTCATTCCCTACCCATCGCACCGATCGCAAGATGTTCTTGTGGCCAACTTTTCGCGAGCCGCGAGGCGGACCCGGGGGAACCGGAAGATGCGCTTCCGCTGCGAAGGCTCTTCTCGCCCTCTCTGGCGGAAAGGGAGAGGCCGGGGCCGCCCGGTTGGGTTACATCCAGGGTCTGAGAAGGGTTAAAGTTGACCCCATATTAATGAACCCCAGCCTATTAATAGGGGAGGGCCTTCTCAGGTTAATGTTGACCCCATATGAATGAACCTCATTTCTTTTTCATAGTGGGGGTGTTCCTCTCCAAAAGCGGTCTGATTCCAACCACATTTCACCCAGAAATGGACACTCCCCCAGTAATAAACTGGGGTTCATTAAGATGGGGTCACCATTAGTTCTTGGGCACAGATTTGGGCTTGGACCGCAGATGCAAGCAGTTTGGTTGCAACAGCTCGGGGGAATATCCACTGGATCGGAAGTGCGCTGTGGGGTTTCAAAGCCTGAGGCTTGGGTGTGTGTCTTTTGAGGCTCGGTACATTCTGAACCAAAGGGGAAGAACCCAGCCATGTTGGGCTGGGTTTCAAACCCGTGATTACCTCGTTGGTCCAAACTTTTTGCCTTTTGGCAGGTTTCACAGCCAGCTACAGGCATCTTCCAGGAAATTGATTCGCCCCGAAGGTCAACCGAAAACCAGATTCCTTGCAGCAGGTTTCACCGAGCCGCCCACCAACACCGCCCCCGAAGTCCTAAGTCCACACCCCGAAAAACCGGCGAGCCAGGTGCTGCCGGAGCCTGGCGTCGGAGAGCCTTGGGCTGGTGGGTTGGGTTGGGTGGTCTTTGTTTGGTTTCGTCTTGGGTGTTATTGTTTGGTTTTCTTGGCGCGGAGCTGTTCTGTTTTGTGGTCTTGTTACTTTCGTTATCATTATAACTATTATTATGAACAATATTATGTGGTCGGTTTTGTTGCGTGTTGTTTCAGTTTTGTTTGTTTGATTGTTCTTTGTGCTTGTTCAAATTGTACTTCAGCCTTAGGAATCCTTTTGGTTGGTCGGCAACTGGAACCCCCAAAAAGCGATCACCAGTGGAATCTTAGGGTTTCCACCAAGTCGAAGCCAAAAGAAAAGACACCTCCAGCTTTTTGTTGGGGTTGAACGGGAAACCCATCCATCAGCATATCCACGGGTTTCGGAGGTTCGTTTTCTGCAAGGTTCGCTCGAGGAGGTTCGGGTGGCCGACCGAAAAGGGTTGGCCGTGCCCCATGGGGTCTAATCATTTCGTGAAAAGGATGGTTGACGCAACTTGAATGAAACTCCTTAGTGGTGGTTGTATTATCCCAGTTGCCCAGCGAGTTGCTTCCTTCTTTCAACTTTGTGGTTTGGGGTTCTTTTTTAAAGTCAACCAACCAAAAAAGGATGCCGATGTTCTTTTCTTCCCATGGAAATCCACTGGGCATCTGAGTAATTACCCCCTTTGATTCAATGGCGGTTCGAACCCGGGCCCCTCATGTTTGGGAACAGTTGGGGAGGTGTGTGAAGGAAACCAAAAGCAAGCCATTCGGACAGTTCCTTCTTGATACAATTTTGTTTCAGCCAACTTGTTTTGAATAGCTTTAACTAGTTGCGAACTTTTAATTTGGGGACCACCTCCAAAGTGGTCTAACTCAATCAGTTCAAGACTGGGTTCTCCCCAAGGAGACCCCAGCGCATGGCGGGGTCTTTCTGAAAATGAGTAAAGAGGACCAGGGCTCCTTAAAAGATCTCCATTTTGCAACCACTTGAAACCTGGCTTTTCCCACCAGAATAAATGGAACCCGCCATGTACAAGTTGCAATGGTCAGGTGTTTTTCATGCATCCGGATCCCTGAGGACCTGGTTCGAGAAAAGTTGATCTTTGGCGCTGAGGACTGGAGACGTTTCGCCTCCCCAGGCAAGGAGAGGCTGTCTTGCGCGGGATCGGTCCATCCGGCCACAAGGGGTGTCCTCAGCTTATTTCCCTTGTTGGCTTTGAAGGGAATGGATTTCACTACTCAAATATGTTCTTGTATTTTCGCCTGGCGGCGTAAAACTAAGGGTGCCAAAAACCAGCGACCAGAGGAAGAGTTGGGGACTCTGAGTCACGGTATGTCACGCTGCTGAATGCGGTGGGTGTTGTTTTGTGGAGGGCACCCTTTTTGAGCTGTTGAGTTTGAAATCCAACAGGAAAGCCACCATTTTTGGGGGCGGGTTCCTGAATTTTGTGACACATAGCTTTTCGAAGGCAAACGGGAAGACACCCTCCCTTTTAAATTATTCGGTCTTTCTTGAGGCCCCATGATTTCTCCATCAAGGTCACCCCTGTGCAGTGGTAGAACTGCCAACCAGTTTCCGACTTTGACACGGCAAAACAGTGACCACGGCGACCGCTTCGGGGTTTTCAGGTCAGTGGTTAGGAAGCCTGGTGAAGAAGAAAAAAACCACGCAACGGCGACCTGTAACCGTGGGCTTTTTTTTTTTTTTTTTCCAGGCTTCCGGTCCACTTGACGTACGGAACCCGATCGCCCCTTGTAGCCGCAGGAAAGGACAACCCCCCGCCCCCCCGTCCCACCGTCCCACCCCCCCTCCTCAATGGCTGAGCTTTCCGCTTGGCTTCCCCTTCTGAGCTGACCAACTTCCATTTGGTGAAGAATATGTAGTTTTTATTTTGCCCGGTTGGTTTTAAAGGGAATCTATCACTGTTGGACATATATTTTACATATGTTTTTTGTTTTTTTTTTTCCAGGGGGCTGAAGCAAATGGAAGCCGATTTTCCTCGGGCGCCCGCTTTTCACTTTTTCCCCGGGAGCCTTCAAGCCGCCCGAAAAACGCTTTCGGGCTCAGGCCCAGAAGGCGCTGCTGGCGCAGCTGGCGGCGACGGAGGCGTGTCTCTTGGGCTCCCCAAAAATGGGTGGCTCGTCGTTTGCTTTTGTCGAGTTGGTCTAGGTCCCCCAGCTAGGTGCTCTTCTCTCCCAACTTTTTTGCGGTTTGGGGTTCCCCTACTAAAATAGACAAAAAGGAAAAAAGACGGCACCCTTATTTTAACCTCTCTACTGGAGGACCTAGTGGTGCGTGTTTTTTTTTTTTTTTGGGGGGGGGGGGTGGTGGTTTTGAAGGGCGTCATGTTGGTGGCGAGTCCTGCCCACACGGGCGCGTCTTTCATTTTCTTGAGTTGGTACCCGGTTTTTGGGCTGGGTTTTACTTGGGAAGCCAAGAGGAAAACCACAATTGTTCTTTGTATTTATTATGATTATCACAATCAACTGGATAGTTCTGTTTAGCTAATTATCCTAACAGCAAACTACCCTCATACCCGGGGGGGGGGGGGGGCGGGTGGTGTCCTCAAAAAAGACGCACCCATTTCATGGGTATATGGGTCATGTTTTTCACCACCAGCATATGGACCGCAGGTTTGCTAGTATCCATTGTCAGGGCAACCCATTTTGCGTACCCATGATCCACAGCCATATTTCGCCTTAGACAAAAGGACACCAAGCAAAATAGTTCGTCGAATTGGCAACAAGGTGATGCGAAAAGAAACAGAGGCGGACAAGGGAAAGGGACTTCCCATCAGGGGTGGGAGACCATGCTCCTTCAACATGGACCATTTCTCTGGTCTCCACTATCGGGGTTGGAACGTTAGGCTTCAACTTTTTGGATCGCCCTCAAAAGCTGAGAAGCCCTTTGCGGGAAAAATCTCTGGCATACGCTTGCACGCACGCTTGCGTGTTCGCCACAATCCAATCCTGGGATGAAGTTTCGTAAGGGATCATCCTAACCAGAGGTGCCTTCGCCTGATTCTTTGCGGAACTCTGAGGATCCACCATTTTGATACCGATCGGTTTTGAAGCTCAAGTTCCCAAGTCTTGGTTTCCCTTTTAGAACCCACCACGAAAAGGGGGGAACAAGTACTTTCGCCTAGCTGCAAAAAAGGACGAGCTTTCCTCTGCGAGAGCCTTGGACTGTCCCCCTGGTTTGGACGATCTTCCTTCAACATAGACCATTTCTCGGGTCTCTATCGCTATTGGGGTTGCCCTTTGAAACCCACCAACAAGGGGGGGGGGATGTGCCTTTCGCCTGAAAAATTCAATGTAAGCGGATTTTTGGTTTCCCTTTGAAACCCCACCAAAAAGCGGTAGCTCCAAAAAAGGGGCCAGAACTCTCTGGTGGAACCCCCATGTTGCACCGTGGACCGGGGAGTCAATGGGCATTTGTCAAGCCTCCCCCAAGCATGGCTTCGGTCTCCCTTTCTTCCCTTTAAGCCAACCTAAGAGCCTCAGAAAATCTACGGCGCCCTGCTCTTGCTGGTTTTGGCAAATGAGACATGGAACCTGCAGAACCCATCCCTTGGCGGCTTCCTTTAAGGGAAGGAATCCCCAAAGTGTTCATCCCATTTCTCATTGCTCTGCCGATTTTGCAGCGATCGCAAGCAGGGTTGTGGGATCAAGGGGTTTTTCCCCACTTCTGTGATACAAGGGAATCTCCCCCTTCGTATGGGGGGGTAGTCTTTGGGAAGCCCTTTCTGTTGTATCACAGAGGTGGTCATTCCCCACAACCCTGATCGCAAGAGACGCGTGGGTTCCATGTTGCTACGGGACGGGATTCTGCTGGCTGCCTGACGGCGAGGGGAAGCTCCGCCTGTCGGCGCTGCGGGCGCTGCTGCGCCAGAAATGGGACGCTGAGGCACGGAGATTGCGGGGCATCCGTCCCAGAACCAAAACGAGCGGGGGGGTCCAAGTTTGCTTTTGGAGAAAAGAAAGTTCAGGAGCTACCAGGAGTCTGGTAAGGACATGCATGGCACAGTAGCTAGTCGTGGTATGTCACAGTGCTAAAATTGGTGGGTGTTGTTTTATCGAGGCCGCCTTTTTCGAGCAGATGCATTTGGAACTCAACAGGAAAGCCGGCATTTTTGTTTGGGGGGGTTCTTCACTTCCATTTGCAGAAAGGGATATATAAATATATATATATATACATATATATACATATATATACATATATATATATATATATATGTGGGTTGTTTTTGGTGGGGACGCCACGAGGGCGTCGTGTCCCTGCCAGCAAACCCAGCATCATTGCATGTTGACGAGATGCAAGGCATGGTGTTTGGGGGTTGGGGGTTGGGGGGGGAGGGGTAGTATTGTTCGATGTTGACGAGATGCAAGGCATCACGTACGTTGTTTGGGGGGAGGGGCGGGGATGGGGGGGAGGGGAGGGGGGGAGGGGTAGTAACGTTCGATGTTGACGAGATGCAAGGGCACCCTTCTTGAGCTGTTGGAAATCCAACAAGAAAGCCGCTATGTTTGGGGGGCTCCTGAATTTTGTGACACATAGCTTTTGGATGGCAAAAGGGAAGACACCCTCCGGCTCCCTTTTTGGACCTCCGAGTTTCCTTTGGTCTTCTTGTTTTTTTTTGGGGGGGGGGCTATTCTTTCTCGAGCTTTGCTGGATGGGAAGCGGTTCCAACCAAACTCGAGGTTGGGATTTTTGAAGCATTGGTTCTTCGCTGTTGCTGGCAGGTGTTGATTGTTTGGCTCTGTTCATTTTCAGTAAAGTCTGTTGCTACCATACCAAGGGTTGGACAAGTTGCCTTCTTTTGTTTCACTGAATCTGACCTCATTTTGGGGTTGCAGCAGCTGAAGGGAAGGGAGGGGACCATAAACACTGGGCAGAAGGGGATTGGGGTGTTCACTGAACAGGGCGTATCTCCAAGCAATGGATTTAAGTTGTGGCTGGCATTTTTTCAGGGAAGCCAATTTGAGGGGCCGCATTTTTGAGAAACACCCCCAAAGGATACTGTTTTGATCCCTCAAGCCGGCACGTGGTCAGGTGCTCAACCGGGCCGCGCCGGGCTTAGCGAGCCATTCGTTCTTCCTCACCCAAAAGCACTTGCCATTTGCAGAAGATGCTTCTCATTTTTCTTGGTTTGAAAGTTGGAATGGATTTCACCAAACTGGAAGTATGTTAAGAAATATTTGCAGGCGAACGTGCAAATGGACGAACGTAGGTGTCCATTTCAGGTTAGCTTGGTTGAAATAGATGGGTCCCACTGGTTTAGTCAGGGTTACGCCCCATTCAACAGGGAACCCATCAGTTGTTCCAAAGACCACCTATGCTCTCAAACCAAGAGGAAGCTAGCGCGAAAATGGGGTTGTCCGTTTTGGGAGACCCCGGTTGCTCGATTTTACCACGGGAGCCCACGGGGTTGCTGCAGGCCTCATTTTGAGCCGGCCCATGTGCAAAAAGCCGCCTGACCTCCAGTGTTTTTTCCCTTTTTCGGTTTTAGAGGGGGTGAGGGTTTGGCTCTTTGCATATGAAGCTGAGCAGGTGAGTTTTTTCTTCCGTTTTTTGTTGGCTCTTTCATGGACAGTTGGGGGAAAATATCGGGAGCTGGGCATCTCGGGAGACAAGGCGGTTGTTTGAGCTGGGATCGGTGTGTTTGGGGAGGTGGCAGCAGTTTTCTGGAAGTGGTTTGTGGGGCATCGAACCGGATCCCTGGTGCACAGCACGGGTGACTTGGATGGAAACCTACTATTGGAAAAGCTGCGTGACTTGGGTCTGTCTTATTTCGGGTGTTCCCGTTGTTTGGTGGTTTTAAAGGAAGACAAGAAATTGGCAAGCCTTATTCTCCCATGATCCGCGGCGTAATTTGGTTTAGTACCCCACGAACCCATCCAAATTTCTTGGGCCCTTGGTCATTTGTGGCAATGTTCTGCGTTGGCTTCGAGTCTGCCTTGGGCTTACCCCATTCAAATTTAGGGCCTAAACCAACACAATCGACCGGGTTGATTTTCTTTGTTCACGTTTTTCCACGGGGCAGCCGATCCAATTTCACGGTCCCCATTGCAATTGCACCTCTTGCCTCACTTCCAGAGTGGCTCGGCCACGCAAAGTTTGGAGTTGTTGGCCACTCAAATGGTCCTCCCCAAAAGGTAGACACTTCTTCCGAACTCAGACAGCGAGGTGCGTAGCCCACAAAAGGACTGCCATTGAACAGAGACATCATTGGTGTACTCGCCGAGGTGCGCGTGCCCCCCTTCCAGAAGGAGGAGGAGGAGCAAAAAAAATCGTGCAGGGGGAGCATGTTGATGGGCGAATGTTCGGGCCAGATGGGCGGGTTGTCCCGTGATTCTTGCGGGTGTCAGGTAAGGAAGTGGGGGGCAATGGGGCTGTCTTTTTTTTAGGATTTGGAGCCCCTAAAATGGTGGCTTTTCCTTGTGCTTTCCCTTTAGAACCAGAAAAAGGGGTGCCAACTCCAAAAACGACCCGCCCATAAGTCTTTGGTGTGGCAAGTTGATTTAACGCAAGAACCGGCCTGAACGTCCAACAGTTGCCTTGTCCCAAGCAGCTGGTGGATAAGAAGTTGATGGGAATCAGCAATTGCCAAGCGGACACCAACCTTGGGCACGAACCCAATGCGCTAGAGGTGGAGAGGAATATCTGGGGATCCACATTTGAGCTGAGCCGATATTGAATCATATGAAACTCATATGAAAAGCACTATCTGCAGGTCTAGCTCAAACGCCGCGGCATTTCAAGCAAAAAGCCTCTCCTGGCTCTAGTCCTGGCCGCTCTATCCCGAGAGCTGCGCTTTTTTGCACCTTCCTCGGCATTTTTGCTGTTCACCGGAGAAAAGTGTAGGACCAAGGTGGGCAAAACCATCCCACAGTCCGACCAAAAGGGGTTGGAACGAAACATCTTTGACCCAACCTAGGTCCCCCAGTAGTGCCCTTTTACTCTCTTTTATGGGGGTTTGGGTTCCCCTACTAGAATAGACTAAACTGAACAAAATCGGGTACCCTTCTTCTAATCTCTCCACTGGAGGACCTAGTAACCCAACTGAACGAAGCCAAGCGCTAAGAAACTCGCGGGTTCGAAGAAGGACAACGCTACAAAGAGGCCCGTGGAGCAGTGGCGCCTTGGTCAGAATTGGGGGCATGTCTCAGGGATCTCACAAAGGGTCTTGGTCTCTCCCATTTGCTTAACATATGCTTTGTTTTCCTTGTTGGTTTTTATTGAAGGGAATCCATCACTACTTCATCTTTTCCAAGGGACTTGTATGGGTGTCTCTTTTTTTCGAGGGCACCTTTTCTTGCGATTTTAAAGGGATACGAAAAGGAAAATCATCATTTTGTGGGAAACGAGACACCCATGTATGGAGGGGGTTGCAAGCGAACTCACTGAGAGAGGTTCCTTGTTTGGGGCTTCCTGAGTTCGGTGGCAATTTAAGCACATTCGGGCTTGATCCCTTTGCTTGGCACCTAGCAAACAGGTAAACCCAAGAGCTGGGGTAAACCTGAGGCTTTAGTGTATGGTTCCATTTACCAAGGTACCCATTTTTTGAGCCACAGCCACCACCATTTCGTCTTTCAACCGGGACAGTTGGCTGGGGGGTCTAAGCTTAGCCCAGGTTCAATGCGAAGTTTGCTTGGCCTTTGGTGGTCTGAGGGCCGTTGAGCTTTGACACGTCAAAATGGGCTTGTCGCCAAATGGGTTGGTTCTGTTTGGCTTCCCGTGAAAATCCGATCTTTTTGTGCGCCAAAAACACGCGCCCAAGTGGCTGGTTTCCGTTTTGTTCTTTTTGACGCCAATTGATGCCCTACCTCAACACAGCTTGGTACCCACGATGGTAAACCCAGACATCCAGTAAATTGCTTCCTGTTTCTTGTTGCCATTCCGTCAAATGCAACAATGACAGAGCAAGCCATATTGTATCTACAACCCCTGCGACAAAGGCATCTTGTTCAGATTTCGGAAGACAGTGACGCCCCTGTTAGGTGCTGTTTCTAGGTTTTGAGTGGTTACTGGAGATGTTGAATGTTTTTAGGCTTAGTTTTTAGGTTTTGTTTCTAGGTTTTGAGTGGTTACTGGAGATGTTGAATGTGTTTAGGTTTTGTTCTTCTATCATCGTCCGTTTCAAAGACCAGCCGTTTAATTGGGATTCTGGAGGTTTTCTGGAAAGAACGATCCTTGGAAAGAATGGGGAAGGTACCCCTAGAAATTCAGATTCTTTGGCCGTTGCATAATCTGATGCTTGCTGGTTTATTGTTTAAACCTGAAAACATTCAAAATCTCCAGTAACTGCTCGAAACCTAAAAACAAAGCCTAAAACAATAAACCTAAAACATGCAAACTCTCCAGTAAACACTCAACACCTGACAGCAACACCTAAACACATGCAACATCTCCAGTAACCACTCAACACCTAAAAACAAAACATTAAAAAACACAACAACATTCAACATCTCCGGCAACCAGTCAACACTCACCCAAAAACACAACCTAAAACACATTCAACATCTCCAGTAACCACTCAACACCTAAAAACAAAACCCAAAAACAACACCTGACAACATTAAACATCTCCAGTCACCACTCAACACCTAAAAACAACACCTACAAACATGCAAATCTCCAGTAACCACTCAACACCAAAAAAAGCACCTAAACACATTCAACATCTCCAGTAACCACCCGACACCTAAAAACAACACCTGAAAACATGCAACATCTCCAGTCACCACTCAACACCTAAAAAACAAAACCTAAATCATTCAACATCTCCAGTAACCACTCAACACCTAAGACAACACCTAAACACATTCAACATTTTCTAGTAACCACTCAGCACCTAAAAACAACACCTAAAAAACATTCAAGATCTACAGTAACCACTCAACACCTAAAAACAACACCTAAACCCATTCAGCATTTTTTTAGTAACCACTCAACACCTAAAAGCAACACCTAAACACATTCAACATTTTTTAGTAACCACTCAACACCTAAAAACAACACCTAAACCACATTCAACATTTTTTAGTAACCACCCACATCCTACAAAAACAGCTTCTTCTCTCTTTTTTCTGCCTCTCGGAGGTTGGAAGGCTGGGATCCGCAGGTACGGCGCCTTGTTCTTCGTGTTGGACGACGAGGACTCCGAGGTGCGGGCGGTGGGCCTGGACGTGCTGACGGCGGCCGGGGGGCCAAGACCTCGTAACCTTCGGCGCGCCGCGGGGCTTCGGGCTCAAACAAGTGGTACCAAAATGCCAGCTTGGTGAATGGCACCTTTGTTTGACCTGCGAGAATGCAAGTATACATGTATATGGTCTCAATGAATCGGATTTCCAGTTCGTATCAGAGGGCGCTTTGCGTTTCGCCGTGAGGAGCGAGGACGGTCTTGGTAAGGGGGGTGGATTTTATGACATTCACATGCCGTAAGCAAAGTTCCATGGGGATGTTCGGATTAGCCAAGCCCAAACACCTCCATTTGCTTAAGTCCCCTGGGAAAAATGAAAATAATATTTCCAGTAGTGATAGATTCCCTTTAAAACCAACAGGGGAAAACAAAAAGTATTCTTAACCAAATGAAAGAAAAGGACACACCCAATCAGAAAGGGAGCTGAAAGCCTGACATCCTGACGTGTTGCGTCCTATTCATCCCATATTGCTGGAAGTTCCGCATGGCACGCGTGGGGATTTGGTGCTTCTGGTGCTCCCACTTGATGTTTTCCCCAGTGGCGCGTCAACTATTGCGTCCCATATTTACAGACATCGCGTCCAAACAAGTGCTTCAAAATGGACATCTTGACACGGCCAGTTAAGAGGCAAGGCTGCCAGTTTGCAAGCTCGACTTCCGGCACTTTGCTCACTGCCATCTCACGCGCCAAACAAATCGCCTGCGTTTCAGAAGGAGCTTTCGAAGCCGGGACTGGAAGAAGGGAAGGAAAGACACATGTGGATCAGCGCGCAAGCGAACCGCAAGATCAGGTATGCGCAGATGTGGAAAAACAATAGTTGCCCGCATAGGGCGCATGCCCTGAGTGATGCGTTTACAGTGTTGGACATGTGTTTTGCTGGCGCAAGTGCCATGGGTTCGGGGCATGGAATGATCCGTGTTTACATGCAGGAAGACAAGTGCGCTGTCGTAGTCACTGAGCTGTATAAGCTCTGGATTGCGCAGCGCACGAGGGCAAATGTTGCGTTTACATTTGGTTTGGCAATGGCTTTTGGCACATGGGTTTTGCAATGGCGTGACTTGAATTTTCATTCGGGAAGCCAAATTTCATGTCTCCTCGCACTGGCATGATTTGAGTTTTGTGCTGCGTTTACAGCTCCGCACATGTCTGGTGTGTGGCGTGCTGAGTTCCATGCGGGAACAACTGCTGGTGAGAAATTGGCGTGACTTCCCTTCTGTTGAACGTAGGTTCAACAAGGGCACCAAACTAAACATTCTTAGACACGCTCTAGACTTGGTTAGACATCCTTTGCTCAAACATTGCAAAGGACACAGCTCTAGACTCTAGACACTTCTAAATATTGCTGACTGACATCCTTTGGTTTGTTGAAAAAGCTGAGGGGTTTGGGTTGTTTGTGCTTCTGCGAGCACGCTCATTGCTGACTGACATCCTTTGGTTTTTGGCCTCATTGCTTAGACATCCCTTGGTTTTTGTTTGCCCGGGCTGAGGGGTTTGGGTTGCTTCTGCGAGCCAAGCCATCCAAGCGCCCCTGTGGCCTTTGGATCCCGAGGCTCTCTGCAACTGCGACCTGAAGGCCGGGCCTCGGCCGGGTTCGGCCGGGATCTGCGGATTTGGTGGGCCCAAGAATAGTTGGTAACCCCAAAATGGCGAACCCTGGTAAATGGAAGCACGGGCTGAAACCTGCGGTTTTTTTGGTGGTTTCATTTGGACCCAGACCCATTTATGTTTGCGGGCCCTGTGTTTCACACAACAGGGGACCCTCCCCCCCTCATTTTGAGACATCGCCAGGCACGTGCAACTCACGAACTCTTGAGACGATTCCATCGCGCGGGCGGACTGCCGTTTTTTGGAGCAACGTGGAGGACTTACGAATTCAGTTCAAGGACAAGTAATTTTGGTTGTTCGTGTGACCACTTTACATGGCGCTTTCCTGCCATAGACTTTTAGACTTTAGATAATGTAGAGACTTGACATATGCCAACAGTTTCAAATCAACACCTTCAGCAGATCAACGACCCTAAATTTGTTCAACAACTCAAGGGCAACCAGCCTAGAAACATTCTCACCCAGGCATCCTCTTAACACATCCCAGCAGAAAAGAAAGCTCAAAAACCAACCCATGCGGGCGGAGAATGGCCACCTCAGCAGCAAAAGCTCAAAAACCAACCCATGGGCATGGGGGCGGAGAATGGCCACCCCAGTAGCAAAAGCTCAAAACCAACCCATGGGGGCAGAGAATGACCGGCCTTGCTGCCGCCGTCTCCTCGTCAAAAAAATCGTCGCGTCGCGAAAGCGACAGCGACAGCGGAGGCTACGGCGCTCGAGGGCTTGTTCCAGCGCCTGGCCACCGTGGCCTCCCTGTGTCTCCACGACCCAAAGGCCAGAGGGCAGAAGCCGCGGAAGCCGCGCGCGCGAGCGTCCGAGCGGAGTTTTTTTTGAAGCTCTCCAAAGTATTGGGAGTGTTGGGGTGGCAAGCCCACCTACCCTCAACAAGAACCAGGGACCCGTTCAAATCCCAAACCAATCCAAACCATGCGGGGGAAGCTGAGAGTTGGGTGTTGTGTGGGTGTCTCCATTTTCAACATATACCATTTAGGTGACTTTGATCATGGTACAACAGTGCCCTATGTGATTGGTCTCGAGCAATGCGACCGATTCGGGGATCAAGTGCCGAAGTTGATGCAGGTTGAGGTTGGAGCCTCTGTTCATTCAACCCTCAACCTACCCCTTGTCTTTGGTGCAGTTTCAACGAATGGGTTTTCCATTAAACCACTAAAAGTTAAACTTTTAGCGGGGGAGCAGAAAGCAACCAAGTTGCGGTGAGAAACAAGCGGCTAGCGCGGACCTATTTTTTTGACACACAAGGCATGGCATAGTTTCCTACACCTTCTTTGGCTTACGCGGCTTGGCCAGCTTTTGGCTGACCTTGCCTCTGCCAAACTTAACTGCTTGACATAGCACACACTGCTTCTTGCCGGGTTTGATACAGGTCAATGAGTGTGTGATGCACTCTGGCTTCACCCAAATCCCCCGCACCTTGCAACCCTGTACAAGCAAGAGTCACGAGCATGGTGGGGCTTCCAACAATGCTGGCACTTGGTGCACATGATTCACATGATACCCTTCCCAAAAGGCTTCCAGCAATGACCATTCAAGGGTGCTTCAAACTCTCGGCTGCTTAGCAGTCTTAGGCAGGTTGACTGTAAGCCATAGCTTTACCCTTTCTGCTAGGAACTTATTGAGCTAACAAGCCGTGCTGTCAATCCAGTCCACAATACCAGGATGGACATGCTGACCTGCATAGCTTCCTGCCAAACCTGTGCGAAGTGCATTCATCTGCTTCATTTGCCTTAGCCCAAAGAAGCTCGGTTCCTCAGCCTGCAGCACCAAATCTCCCCCTCTGGGGCTGGGGGTGGGGGGCTTGCCCTGCCCGGCTTAGCCCCCAGGCGGCGGTGCGGGGTCGTGCGGCCGCCGGCGCCCCAGCTCCCAGCTTCCGGGTCCCTAGGCAGGGATCCCGAAAAAAAGAAACTCATCTTGTCACCATTTTTTTTTTTGAATATATATATATATATATATCTATATATATAAAGTTGGACACCACCATTTACAAGTTGCAATGTTCAGGTGTATAATGTAAAGATCCCTGCTAGGTGTTTAAGGTTTGAGTGGCTTGCAGCACCCACCGTAGTTTCCACCACTCTTAGCCAAAAATATGGCACAACCCAGTCTTAAGGGTGTGCCCTGAAAAGCCAACTTTTCCAAAGACTCAGTACGGCAATCCTTACCCAGAGCGGCGAAAGGCATTTGGTAAGGGGGGCGCAACATGCTAGGGGTCCTTTCATGGTTTCCCTTCAAACAAACCGCAAAAGGGTAAAGTGCTTGGCCCAAAGACCAAAGAGACCAACTGCAGCACCCCAAGTGTCCACGCGCCAGCCAGTGCGGGACAGCCATTTTGTTTAAACCAAAACCACGTCTTTTGTTTTCTGGAAGACCAACACGGACTGTGTACGCTGTTTCAAACGCGCGCCCCTCCGGCTTCTGATTTGCAATTGTGCGTCCTTCGGAGGGTTGAAGACGTGACTGGTGAGCTGTGTATTTTGTATGGACCTTAAGAAGGGTGGCTTTGCCGATTGCTTGACCGACTTAGTGGCTTGTAAATTGGACCAACCTGCGTCCAGGTTCATGTTTGCCCTTAGTAGGGTCCTCACAAAAAAACAAAACAAACCTCACATACATATGTATGTACATACACATACAGCACATGCGCAAGCTTGCTCGTGTTGTATACATGTTGTTAGTGTCTTTGCAAGCACGTGCATATGCCTGTTTGCTTGAAGGTCATTGGCAGGTGCGCGATCATCGATGGATCGCGTCTCGTGTCGCGCGCTTCTTTTGGGAGGCGGCGCTGGTGGAGGTGATGACCTGCCGCAAAGTGGCCCTCAGCGCCGGGAAGACGGACAAGGCCGAACCGAACGAGCGTGTTGGCTCCGGCGAGCTCGAAATCAAAATGGAAGTGCTCCAAGTTCCTAGGGGTGCCCTCCAGTTCCATGCTTTCCAGGGAATCCTTCTTTTGGAAACCCGGGGAAAACGGATCCGGTTGTTGGAAAGAATGATGACGAGTAGAGAATTAGCTGTGAGAGAGGGAGCCTTTCGGAGCAACCAGGAGTTCTGCAAGCACACGGTGGCCAAAATGGAGGGGGGGGGGGGGGCGATTTGATCGGTCTGTGACACCCGCTTTGCTTTTTTGTTGGTTGGTTTGGTTTGGTTTGGTTTGGTTTGGTTTGGTTTGGTTTGGTTTGGTTTGGTTTGGTTGGGGGGTTTTGGGGGTTTGGGGGGTTTGGGGGGTTTGGGGGGTTTGGGGGGGGGGGGGGCGGGGGGCAGTGTTTGGCCCAAAAAGAAAGATGGCATCCGGGACCCATATGGTGTCAAGAGCCTTCCCTTTGATTTGATTCGGGGTTTGCTGGGTTGAACGTTCCCGAGTTCTTGTTTTGGGCTTATCAAGATCCGATGGTTCTCAAGGGCCCAGAAACTTTAAGAGTTTAATAGGGCCTAGCAAGGCTTACTAAGGCCTAGAAGGTATTATTGGGGGCAGAGGAAGGATCTGGGCCTGAAAATCGTCAACATGGTTCGGTGTTCGGTGCACCGGTTTGTTTTGGAAGCTGATGTCTTTCGTACAACGGGACAACGTGCACTTGCACGTTGCTGGTGGAAGCGTATATATTTCAGGATGTCGCAATTTTCCTCTGAAGGAAACCTCGGTTGGAAGAACAGGGATGAGTTGGCAGGTTGTTGGATTTGGGCTTGAGTCGGCTTGAGGGTAGGTTTCCATAGATGTTCTATTCCTTCTAAGATCTATTGGCAACCTGCCCGCTGCCCGGTTACCCAGCTCCTCGTGTCTTCGTATTGGCCCAATGCGCCGGCCATTTTGGAGTGCGTGTTTTTGAGGGAACCCTTGTTGGGATTGGTTTCAATGGGAAGCTGGCCCCGATTCTTCGGAATCAAGCTCCGAGCTGCTTCTGTGTTTTTTAGGCCCAAACAATGGCGCAAGGGTTTGCCTCTTGTATACACTTTAAAACCACCAAAAGAGGGGCACCCTCAAAAGAAGACAAGAGCCACATGGGGGTGTCTTGCTATGAGTCGGAACCCTACAACTATTGGGTGGGTGGGTGGGGCAAACAGTTCTGGGTAGGTTTTTCTGGGGTACCGACGCAACCAAAAAAGAGACGACAGCCTGGTGCCCGGAGCCTGAAGGAAACCAGGCCGGCGTTGAGGTGGGCCAAGTGGAAAAGGTATCAGCTCCAGGCTTGGGCGTGGAACAACGGGGGAAAAAATAAAAATCCCCGGGGCCAGTGAATGATTTTTTGGGGTCCAAGCGACCCGGAAAAACGGGGTTTCAGTTTTCAGAGGTGAACCTTTGGTTGGAAGAACAAAAAGACAGGCAGCAGTCTTTGCGGACCACGTGTTCTCCCGTGGTCCGGTTGCTGGAGCTGCGTCTGTCTTTTTTAAGGACGTGGACCCACCAAAATTGCCAAAATGAGAAATCCACCAGAAAAGAAAGGGGGTAGCACACATCCCTAAGACAAGAGCTCCACTCTAACCCGTGGCCCGGTTTCCGGTGCAAAAGCCGCAAACCATTTGTTTTTCTTCACACCTTTTTCGAGTTGGTGCCCCTTTTTTGACGGTTTGTTTGGGGAAATCACGCGGAACATCATTGTATTTTTCTTTCTATGAAAGGAGAAGCACCGATATGGGTTGGTCTCACTTTTGAGGATCCCGTTGGGGTGGGAAGGAAAACGCCAAAAAGGCCCCCCCCCCCCCGCCCAAAGACTGCGGCCGTCTTCGCGCCGGACTTTTGGTCAGCCGTCGACTCGACGTCGACTCGCCGTCAGGCGAGCCCGGGGCTGGGCACGGTGCTCCAGGCCTTTGTGCGGGATCCCCGGGTGGCCGGAGGGCCTAACCCGGCGCTTGGACGCTTCGGCGCTTCCGGCGCTTTGGGACCAGCCCGGGTGGGCTTTGTTGCTTTGTTTTGTTTTCTTCTGCTTCTTCTTCTTCTTTTTCTGGAGTTGTCCCTCCTGGATGTTTGGGGACCTTCCGGTGTTTTGTTTTTGGGGTTTAAGTCTCATCTTGGAATCTTGGATGGGGTAAAAGCACCCCCTTGTGGGGCCTGGTTCCTGAAAAAAGTCGAGGAAGCTACGGGATTCGCAGTGATGCAGTTTTGAAACCCGGGCGTTCCTAAGCCAGGACCCGCGACTCCAACTTACAGAGTTCCGACCATGGCGCACAGGAGCATCCCCGAAGAAACGCCGCAATGGCGCCTTTTGTTTTTTTGCTTTCGGGGGGTTGGGGGGGGGGGGCGGTCGCCTTCAAAAGAGCCCTTTGGATGTGGTTGAGGGAAACCGACGGGAAACAAGCCATTCGGGTCACCTGAGCCATGAGGTAGTTGAAGCTTATTAAGGGGCCCTCCCGACCGAATAGGTGCGGATGTCCGCTTGGTAACTCTTTACATGGTTTCGTGTTCACCATTTTTTTGGTACCTGAAAGGAACCAACCCACAGGAAGCAGCCCTTTAAGGGGAAGCAGCCCAGTTCTGCAGGAAAAAGACACCCCATCTTTGAGACGCTCAACCAGCAAGAGGGGAACCAACTTGAATGGTCGCATGGGGTGCCAGCGGGGTGAGTTGAGGGTTTCAGGCTCCGGAAATTCTTTCCGGACCGCGGTTTTGGGAGCGGGATCCTTGGGGGTTTGGTGGGGGCTGCAAAGAATCCTTGGGGTTTCTCTGATCCTTAGGGTGCCTTCGGTTTTGTTTGAGGCTTCCCCCGTTTTTTTTAGGGGCCGCTTGATAATTTGTTTGGGTCGCGTTGGGGAACCCCAAACTTCCTTCAGGAGCCCCCCTTTAAAACCACCGACCACCCCCCCAAAAACCACACCCCGGGCTTCCAAGGTGGGACCCCAGCCCCCCTGAACCGCCCGCCCCCCCCCCCCCCAAAACCAAAACCGGGCGACGCTCCGAGGTGCTGGAGGTGGTGGCGGCCGCGCGCTTCGGGGACCTGCAGGCGCTGCAGCAGGCGCTGCAGTGGAGCCTGGAGGCCAAGCTGGAGGACGGGACTTGGTCGATTGGTTGTTGTTGGGACACATTTCTTTGGTGCATGTTGCCAAGGGATGCCAGGCATCCAGGACTTGAACTTTTTGCCAACTCATGGGTTTTCCGTAGTGAACCACTAAAAGTTAGTCGCTTTTCGCAGGGCTTCGCAGAAAGATCAACCGAGTTTTTGCATTTTTGCTTATTGTGGTTTCGTGGTTGAAATCCAACCGCTTACCTCCTAAATTTCGAATTTTTGCCCTTCCAGCGCCAAAGCGCTGGCCTCTCGGCGCCGTTCGGCCAAAGCGCCAGGAGCCTTGGGCGCGGCGGCTGGCGCGGCACCTGGGCGCCGAACTGTTCCGCCTGGAGGCGGCGCCCAAGGAGCGAAGATCGATGCCTCAGTTGTTCAGCAGCACCCTTTTCCCATTTTGTTTGGTGGCTGCCCCACTAAAAATGGTCTTCCCCAAAAAGGGTTCCCGATTTTTTTCTCCAGGGTCACTGAACAACTGCGCGCGCGCGGCCCGGAAGATGTTGAAAATCGGCACGCGGGGCTCCTGAAACATCGGTGGAAAATCAGACGCCGGAAAAATGGAAGCTACTGTGGATGGTAGCGAAATCAATTTCGCACCACGTAAGAGACCATGGCAAAGAAGTCATGTGCACCTGACGTACTGTGGATGAACAAAATCCTGCACCACTTTGAAATCATGGGGGAAATTGTTGTTTGTTGGTAATTACAGGGGAATCATCATTCCAGTGATTCTTGGATGGTGCAGGAATTCGCCCATCCACAGTATGGGTTTCAGGTCTGAAAAAGGCATCGCAAGAAGGCACGGCCATGTGTCAACAGTTGGCTTCCCTCTAAAACAAGCCAGAGAATGAGAGATGGAATGACCCCTAGACACCCAAAACGCACGAAGCGGAAAAGGATCTTGTCTTGCGAGCTCTCAGGGAATGCGGAATGGAATGACCCCTACAACCGCAAACGCACGAAGCGAAAAAGGATTTGTCTTGCGAGCTTTCAGCAGGGAGTGAGAAATGGAATGCCCCCCTACAACCCAAAACACACGAAGCGGAAAAATATTTTTCTTGCGCGCTCTCAGCAGGGAATGAGAAATGGAATGCCCCCCCTACAACCCAAAACGCACGAAGCGGAAAGGGATCTTGTCTTGCGAGCTCTCAGGGAATGAGAAATGGCATGACTTCAAGAAAAACCCCTCCCTGATGTGGTTTCCCATTTTTCTTGAAATTCGGTTTCCAATTGATATATTTGAATCCCCCAAGTTCGATTCCTTCCGATTCAACACGCCTCGCAAAGTCCTTCCCTAGACAGCCAAGTTGTGTTCGCTTTTTTCAGTTTTTGTTTCTGGTGTTTGGATGGTCAAGTAGAGGGAAAAAGGCGATCGCAACCGGCCATCCAGGGTGCTTGTTTTGCATGGTTTTGCCAGCAAGGACACATCGCCAACTCGCGCGAATCGGGGGGAACCCCTTGTTGCGTTGTTGCATACGATCATCTCACTGAGCCATCGCAAAAACCAGGAGCCCTCGGGCAAGCGGAAGCGCGAGGCCAAGTTGGATCGCAGCCTGCCACCGGGGACCAGGCGCGGAGAGAGAAGCGGCGACCTGGCAGTTCCCTTGTTGAGGTTTCTCCTTTTGCGGGGACCCTGGATCGCCAGGTGCGATCGTTTTTTTTTGTTTTTTTCCATGCACTTTAGCCCAAAAACCAGCAACAGTGACTGAACAAAAACAGCAACTTGGCTATCTAGGACCCTTTTTTTGTTTGGGGTTGCAAAGGGAGAGCTAGACGGCACCCAATTTTCGGGTACACCACTATTTTGAGACATCATGCATGTCCCTGTTTTTTGGGTTGGGCCCTCAACTTGGCGCAACGGATTTCCTTGGGTTTCCCTTCAATGCCACTCCAAAAGGGGCTACCCTCGAACGGAAACCAACGAGGGTCCCGGGCATTTTGTTCTTCTCCCGCAGACCACCTATTTTGCATTGAACTATCGTCCCCAGCACCGAGCCTCAAAACTGCTTGAGCCAGGAAGGCTCGCGTTTGTGTGCGAAGGGCTGCTTCCGATCACTGAGATTTGCTTAGGAAGAGCCGCATGCCCCTGAGGAAGAGCATTCTTCAATTGTGGCCCAGACTTGATAAAATCCATAAGGCGAGATCTTTTCAGTGTCGGTTTTCAGGGCTGGCTTAGATTGGTGTAGGGTCTAGGGTCCAGTTTGGTGGCGGCTGGTGTAGTGGTGGTCAATTTGTTTTCAGATGGTTCCCTTTTGGTTGGCCCTCCTCCCTCTGACATATCACCCGTGGGAGGGTACCTGCAAGATCTATTTGGGCAAGCCGCATTTTTCCAACTTAGTTGGGCCTTTCCTAGCCACCTGCCTCCTTTGCCACCGAGCCGGTGCTTTTTGGCAACAGACAACCTCCGGCGGCTGTTCACTTGGCGATGCTTCAGCATGGGACCTGAGCGTTTCCGCGGCCACCTACGAATATTGGCTATTCCTGGCCGACGGTGACTTGCGGCACCGTCTGCCCGTCTTGAACGGATTCTTCTCAAGCTCTTGGGTAGTATGTGACGGCTTCAACATTTGGGAGCCATTCGCTTTGGGCTGACCGGTAGCGGCAAAGGCAGCACGACCGCAAAGTAATTCT